AACACTTCTTTAAAACAGTACAATTTCCTGTCTGCAAAATTATTGTGAACCAACGCTACTATGTATGATGGAAAATCAAGGTATTCTAATCGATCTATCAAAATACAGTGCTCCATGGTACCATATGCTTTAGCGATGTCTAAGGTAACTAAAGCTGCATATTTTTTAATTAGCCGAGCTAATTGAAGCCGATTTTCTAAATCAACGTGGGCATCCCAAATTGAACAACGAACCCTGAACCCAATTTCACAAGGACTTAGAATTGACCTCATGGTAATAAGTTCATTAATTCGTATAGTGATGATTCTCTCAACCAATTTCACTAAGTTTGATGTCAGGGCGATCGGCCTTATGTTATCCAACGTGTATGCATCATTTTCATTTTTTAGCAACAATACAATTTTGGCAAGTTTCCATTCTGGAGGCATCCATGCGTTCCCTAACGAATAATTCACTAGTTCTAGCAAAAGATTAGGCGATTCCTGCAGTAAACATTTCAACATAGAGTTCGTAATCCCATCTGGTCCAGGAGCCATCCGCGGTAAGCATATTACTGTCAGCCTCAATTCAGCTAAAGAAACTTCAGGAAATTCATGCAAGTTTTCCAGAACGGACTGAATAGCCAAAAAATTAGCAGTGAAGCGCCATTCTAAACCTTGCTATATGTCTTCTAAAGAGGTGTTCATTTTTTCCGGCGTCAAGATACGCGACTGCAACGTAGAATGTTCTGGCAGTACTTTTCTTGTCCGAAGATAAGCGAACAAAGCACGCTTATTTTTAGATTTAGAAAGATAATCAAAATGTCTACTGTCGTATTCTTCTTTCGCGTGGTTCACTGTACGCTTAAATACGCCAGCAAAGAATTAATAATCCTTCCAGTTTGTTGGGCTCTGATTAAGAAGAGGTTTTTTCCAAGCGGCTTTTCGTCTTCTATAATCGCGCGTACACTCATCATTCTACCAACGAGAGGAGGATCATTTATTGGATGGAATAGAAAATTTAGAATTTTTTCTAGATCCCTCCAGCATTGAACCAATCGTAGAGGCAATCTCCTTAGTACTGACATTTCCAAGCTTGAAAATGGCAGAATGGAGGCAGGTTTAGAATTTGCTATGGTTGATGTATGTGCGTTTTGGCTGATCTAAAGTTATTGTTGGACAAGTAATGTCAAAAACTACAGCAAGATGGTCGCTGTTGGTTGCCGAATCCAGAACAGCCCATGACAAAACCTTGATTCTATTGGAGCAAAACGTTAAATCCAATACTGAGCTAGTTTGACCTCGGACAAAAGTTACTTGACCTTTATTTAGACAGGAGAGGTTGTGATCAATAGTTCATTCCCACAGTCGCCTACCACAAGAATCTGTCCTTATACCTCAAGACAAATGATGTGAATTAAAGTCGCCTGTGATTACAATTTCCTGTCTACATGCTACCAAAACGCTATCAAGATAACGCGTACTTTGCACACCGGAGGGGAAGTAACAATTTACAATTGAAAAAGGGTGGTATCCGGGGAGACACAAGTCTAATGCTAATATTTCCCAATCCAAGTCTAACATTCTGAAAGAAATTTTCGCCCTATGTCATAATTTACTTGATACAAAGATCATTAAACCACCACCACGTGATGGGCGATCTAATTGAAAAGAACGAAAACCTGCAAGATGGAAATTTTTATCTGGTGTGAGCCAAGTTTCTTGGAGAATTAAAACATCAAGATTAAAATTATTGCAAAAGTAATGTAAATCGGTTGAGGCTGAGAATATAGAACGGCGATTCCACTGTAGTACCGTCAACAGACCTATGGTGTTGAGCGCACCGCAGAGGCGCATGTCGCGCCCTTGTTAGCATCTTCACGCAAAATAGCCGATTCATTCCGTTGAGATTTGGACTTGAGATTGGTGAGGATAGGGAATCTAATACGTTTATTAGTTCGTACATCGAGTTTCATATCTGTAGCAGTACTTGTGCTCGGCTGAGGCGAATGTCGGTCCAAGCGCACCTGTGTTCCTGACTGCTTATCCTTGCCTGCAGATGCAGAACGTTCGTCATACACTACATTGCGTAGCTGTGTGGCATCGCTGGTAATGTCTAATACTGCAGGTTCTGTACTAGTCTGTACTGTTTGTCCAATCTGACTTGAAAGAATTTGCACCAAACAGTCGGAAAGGTTAGATATGAGTTTATTCATTGCCTTACTCACTGACTTTTCCACAGCAGTTTCAATAGCCTGCGATAGGTTTGAGTCCATACTGTAAGTGCAGCGCGCTGTAATACCACAGTATCCAAAAGCCCTGTCTCTAACTATGTCAATGGCTTCCCTTCGAGAACAGCGGCGGCAGTCAATAACTTCTAGGATTTGAACCTCCCGGGAACGAGCGGAACAGTCAGAGTTGTCGGCGCAGTGACTGCCGCCATAGAGACAACACTTTTCCGCTGTTGCAGTACACTTGCTTGAAGGATGGCTCTGTCCGCAGGTGCTACAACGAACATTAGATTTACATCCTCCCGCACTGTGGGCGAATCTCCAGCAGTTCTTGCATTGAATCGGACGAGAAGCGAGGGGTTCTACTCGGAAGATCAGTGGCCATAATTTTATTTCTCACGGGCATTTTCTGCCCACAAATGTCGCGACGACAGATTCGGGTGGTACCCTCTCTTTGTCGACTAGGTGATTACACCGGTAAATTGAAATTACGCCTGCTCCAGAGAGCCTGTCTAGGGTCTCAGCTGGACTCAGCTTGGAGGCGACTCCCCGTACAAGGACTTTGGTACATAAAAGGTGAGGCGGAATAAAAGCACTCACCGGGGTAATAGCAAAGCAGGTGCATTTGAGAAGATCCTGCACGCAGGTCTGATCCGGCGACCTACACACGATACCTCCTCGCTCAAATGGGCGCACATCTGTGATAGTCTAGAAATGATTTGAAATTGTCTTAAGTTCCTTTTGAACCGCCTGAGGATTTGTAAGTCTGATGAAGCCTCCATTTGTAGCTACCAGTTCCACGGGAATGCTGTCTATACCACTGCGGAAAAAGGAGTCTAGCGGTAACTCATTAGACGGCAGGGACGCTGACCAGGCGGATTGCGCCTGGCCAGAAGAAGTAGTCGACATGAACACTAGAGATATGGTTAGACTCAGAAACAGATAAACTATAGAATTGGACTCTAAGACAGAAAGTTAAAACCACTCAATCCTCAGCCAAGAACAACCCAGCAGGTTGAGCACGGGCAAGCTTGAAGGCGGGACTAGAACGGTTTCTTCTTCTGAGCGTGCCTAAACGCGTAGTCCTGACAGAAACCTGACGGAAACCGGCCCGTAAGCCATTGCCACGGTGGTGCTGCCTTCACGCCCACTAAACCGCTGACGTCCGCTGTTGCCGCTTTTGTTGCTTGATAAGAACGATGTCTCTGGCGATGACGATGTCCCGAATGGCCTGGGAGGCTCAGGTGTGTCGGTGCAGGCACTCGGATCCGTAGAAAAGCCGCAGTCTTCTGGAAACTGCAGCTGTTTGGCAGGGGTGTCAACAGGCCTTCCGAAGTGAACTATGAGCGGCAGCCAGACCAAGACGACCTGTATAACGTGAAAGCGAAGCTTGTAAGCCATTGCCACAGTGGTGCTGCCTCCACGCCCGCTAAACCACTGACGTCCGCTGTTGCCGCTTTTGTTGCTTGGTAAGAAAGATGTCTCTGGCGATGACGATGTCCCTAAAATTCTTTGAAAACACTATTTAACACGATTCTTCAATGCGTCCCAATCGTAATACCTACGCCACTCGCACACCGCTCTATAAAAATCGGTTATGGCGTTTATAGTTGGGAGCTCTTGCATCCACTTTGCAAGAGATGCTACGCATTATATCTGTATACGCCCTTCTGTCACGCTTCCTAGCGGCCGTATCACCGGAAGAGTGTACCTTATGATGTTCGGCGTTTTGTTGCAATGCTTGTGCAAGTTGCCATTGTATCTCTACGATGATGCCAAGAAGATTGTTCATAGCAACAGGGGGCGTTGGGTTGTCTCCATCACCTACGTGAGCGGTATCTGGGTGCCGAACGGTGAACAGACATAGCTTGATGTCTCCTGCTGACCGTTGATCTTTGTCGCGAGTGGTACCGAGGTTCAGGCTAGGCCATGGAGAAACGCCTGCAGCTTTTAATTGATGTCTTGAATTTCTCCTTTGCAGATCACTGTTTTTGATAGAATAGGTGCTCGATATCGGCTGCACCAAGTTAGCAGTAAGGACGTAGCTTACTGGACGCTAATCTTGCGTTTTAAGGATTGTGTACACTTTAATGAAAAACAATTTATTTTGGTGTGTGCGACAGTTTGTTATCTATCTTATCATCTTGATCGTGCGGTGCGGCTGTCTCGCCACGTGTGAGCTCTATGGGGATGCTCACACAATTATTAGGGCGCTTGTGATTCCAAGCCGATTGGAACTGTCACCACATTAAAGTGCTACACTGAGATCCTGATTGTGCGCTAATGGTAAAGCACCTATGGCCAGCAGTGGAAAAACTCCACTTTAAATAACTTTAGTACATTTTGTATTTATGTCACAGTATGGCTAATGCACCGTACTTTTCATATTTGTGTGGTGAGGATGAGGTAGAAAATACTTTTTGTCAAACTATACTCACCAATTTGTGCTCTTTATTGCTTTCAGAAGCATATAACGTGTGAATAGGACGGCAACTGTAGCAAAAAAAAAAGATGTTTTCGCAAGTTTACCAATTTCGCCCGTATACTGCCTTGCAGGAACATCTTCAGAAAAATAGGCTTGAGCGTCACTGCAGTGGGTAACCTTGATCTACTGCCCATTGAGATGCGAGAGAAAATAGCACAGACTGAAATCGGCAGCGATGACGCAAATCCGTAAGGAGGTTGCACCAATGTGTTCTTTCGAGAAGGCCATGTGGTTTGCACTGTGGTGTTTAAGGGCATGTGAAATTTCTCCATCTGTTATATACCACTCTCTGTCTTTCTAAAGCAGCAAAGCTTAGGCTCTGCGGAGCGTATAACACCAAGGTCGGATTGAAGAATATGGTGGTGGACTTAGTAAAGGCCGTTCAAGCGGGAGCCATTGAATCAGAGTAAGTATGCAAAACGTCTGGAGAGTGGTATTACTTTCCATTAGCATTGTTTCACCACAAGATTGAAGGCATGCATGTTACAGCAACAAAGTAGAAAGTCTAGAAAGTCACGCGAAAAGCAGCAAGCTATTGGAAATTTCCAGCTCGTACCTCAAGCAGAAAGCGCTTAGGAATTCAGCATACATGAAACGAGCACGGACTGACACTCTCAGAGCTCAACACACAAAGCGCGCTGTTTTAACATAATGAAAGGTGCACCAAACGAGCGCACAAGTGTACACAGGACCAGCACAGACAACTGTCACAATTACCACGTCTTCGTCTGCGAGCAGCGTGCTTCTTATGTAAACGCGGCCACTGCAGCAAGTGAAGTGTCCTGGAGGCTCTTTTGAATCATGAGCCTGATAAGCGCGCGCGCAGGAGAGACCATTTCCCCCGGAGGCCCGCGTTCACTGAAACTTGGGAGGTGACGACATTTAGAGTGCGCCTAACGCAAGTTCTTCGAGCCATGTTTGTACTGATGAGAAAAACGCAATGACGTTTCGGAGCTGTGATGACCGCCAAACGGTATGTGGTGTATATGAATAGCTTGCTGTTAACTGTCTTGACAAAGTACGCTTCCTGGTTTGATGGCTAGCGCCGCTCGCTGCGGAGTGAGAGGTCACTGGTTCGACGCCTTGGGGTAGAAATTTGGGGGTGGATGATTCTTTGAAGTCTGATAGTATATTTCTTGAAACGTCTTATTCATAAGGGGAAATACGACAGAATGTCCGTGGGGAACCGCGGCATGAAACACTTTAGTGTTAAACAATAATCAACTCATGGTGACACACCATGACGTCATCATTACGGCACATATGGCAAAATCTTTGGGACGCCAACTTGACCTACCTCAATGTGTTGCAAATGTTAAAATTTTCGCTGAACACAGATCTTTTGTAAAGGCACATGTGGGTACAGTTTTTTATGCTCCCGGTCTTGAAGCAGTGTGCGTGCTGCCTAATACCCGGATTTTCTGATAACTATAAATTAGTATGCAACACTTGTGATTGAATGCTGATATATCTTTTTAAATCTTCATCTTGTCAATGCAAACGTGCCAGATAAGACCATTTGCGCTATAAACTTTATAGATGTTTCGCTCCAATACCTTCAAAGGGGTGAAGATTTATCCCTCAGCCTTGTACAAACAACACATCATTTGGAAAGCAGACATGACTGTGAACTGCTCAGGCAAGTATTGCAGTCGTGCGCGCCACGTAATGTCTACAAGAGGAGCGCGTAGCTCGTGTTCCTTCAAGCACCTTCTTACGAAACGAAGGCTGGTTCTTGCTCTTGTTATTGGGCGCGCGCTTGTCTTCGTACGTCCCATTTCTGTTATCCGATGTCGTGAAAGGTCATTGGTGAACGGCCCCCATAAATCAAGAGCGGTGTTTGGTTAAGATGCGCTGATGCCCCACACACTTCAAAAATAGTTGTAATTAATTCAACAAGCTGAAATATGAAAAAGCCTTCGTGGCAAGTTTAAAAAAAATGACTGACTTCCGTCATCGTCTGCTCAACTCATTGCATCCGCAAACACTTGAGCGCAACAATAAAGGACCCCACTTCTTTTTTCGGGATTGTTGACTTTTGTGCCCCTTTCATTCGATTAGTCTTAAATGTCGAGTAGGCTGAAATATTACAAAACTAGATGTTGTGCGTTGAGTTCCATTGCCACGGATATTGTGATGACTTTATGAGTGCGTGCATCGATCGAGTTGCAAGCAGGTTCTTAGTCAACGGGCCGGAGGGCGGCTCATTGTGAACCAAGAGGATTGAAATGAAGCTGAAGGTTTTACAACTTCAATTGTTTTGACACAGATTGCACATTGTTTCTCAAGTTTTGCATAACACACTTTTGTTCAAAGATTCAAAAATATACCGACGTTGCTCTTATAAATTGCGGATTCACCGACAAAGTAGAAATATTAAAACCGTAATTTCACTGTCATTTCGGAGTACTTCGTACAATTCTAGATTAATTTTCTCACAGCTATAGGAAAACTAACAACAAGATCTCTGGAAATATGCTTCAGAAGAGTTCGGCACTATCACAGGACTACATTTAGTAATACCAATATTACGCATGGTATTATCACAGGAGTACAAGTAACAATATTTATATTTTGCATAACTGGTACACTTATTTGCAATACTTCCCTCACTATTGAAATTCGGCCTTGTGAGTACTTATTGATGACTCTCTCCACCAATATTTCTATGCCAGCCAGTGCCATCTGCAAGCTAAAGTTATTCCTCTTCAATTATTTACGTTATAGCTCAAGGCAAAGTATCACATTAAGAATTGTGGTTGGCACTACGGCTGCAAAGTCAATTTGAAATTATGCAAGCACAGGCTTAAAATTAAAAAAAGCACTCCTCTAAACAGTGTCTGAATTCTCGTCACATTATATTATAAAACTTGGTATACCTTGAGGTTCAATGAACCTTGACCACGCTCGTATACGGGTTGAAAATTACAACACACATAAAAAATTACAGCATATCCACCGAGTGAATGATTATGAGTGGGGCGAAGGTCTGTCTGTCTGTCTGTCTGTCTGTCTGTCTGTCTGTCTGTCTGTCTGTCTGTCTGTCTGTTCGTTTATTCACACCAGCTGAGGGCGTCATAGAACTAGACGTTTACGTAGCAAGAGAGACAAGCATGTACAGAGCCACGGCTTAATTAGCTTCGCCCCTAAACCAAACGTTACAGAACGGCGCGCTCAGAGCAACTGAAGTTTAAGTCAGCTTTGGCTTATTTAGCAATGTTTTTCAACGTATTTTGCTATTTGCGCACCGTCCTGTGACTTTATTTCTTATTTTTTGGTGTTGAAAATATTCTTCCGCAGTCTTGAGTATTAATACACATCAACTCGCACAGCTGTCCATTTTTGCATGCAGTTTGGTAAATAAACCTGGTTACACTTATTTTGTTTTAAAGAATGCTAAATTTTTGATTACCCAATCAACTTGAAAGGCGAATACAGTATAATGCACAACATTCTGTGTCAATCCTAGTATTTGCGCAAGTGCCGTAACCTGAGCGAAAGGTTCCAGATGGTGAACATGGAGGAGCATCCGAGTGTTCTCGAAATGCACTGTCTCGTACACAAGCAGGAAGTGAGCAGTTGTTGTGGCTTTGCGAAAAGTAACTTCCAGAAAAAGATACAAAAAATAGGTCCATTGAGTTTTCCGTATTCACAAAAATGAATTTCTTGCCAGGGTCCCCTACTTGACTCTTCTTATTGCCGACGTTATAATAATACATTAAACAATTGTGAAGTTCAAAACCTATTAGGTTTTTCCTTGTGAATTTCCACTTCATATACACAGGGCAATGAACCCAATTTAAAAAGTATGCCAAATACTAGAAGTGTTATTCTTGTACAACGTACAACCGTTTTGGCGGTTTAAAAGTGAGTGAATCTAGAAATAGTGCATAAAATGTGAATGATATAAAGATTCTGCTTACAGTTACCCAATTTGGACACTAGGTTGCTGGTCAACAACAGCTGTTCTATTCAAGGCTGGAGTCTGAACGACCAAGTATTGATTCAAGGCGAAAAGATAGCATGTTTGCGTGGTCGACCAAGCGATACTTGAATAAAATACCAGCACTTTTACCTCGTCAGAAACTGTGTTGACAGCGACAATACTGTGCACAAATAAGCACTATGATAACATGTGCAAAACAAAATAGCAAGAGGGAAGATGAAGGGTCATTCAAGAGCATCGTTCAACGGGATGAAATGACTCATATGAATGACAATGAAAGAACCTTGCACAACTAACGCATTTTTTAGCTTTCTTTTTTTTACTTTGCGCGCACAGGTGTCGACATGACGTCGCTTATTACCTCGCTCTTTCTGACAAGCATGCATTGCAGCAGCAGCCCGGAGGTCAAAGGGCATTTTTCTCCGCTTCCCCTTGTTCAGATTGACCACTTCTTAACAATCATGCATTGTTTTTAATATGAAAGATTTTTATGCCGGCGTGCAGCACTGGTCTGCTGTTGTATTTCCGGCACGGATATGCCATCGTAAATTGTATACGAACAAATATTGAAGGATAAAAAAATGGCAGCATATCCACAGAGAGAATGATGGAGAGTGGAGCGAAGCATCCGTCCGTCCATTCGTTCTTGCTTCCGTCCGTCCATGCGTGCGTCTGTGTGGCCGCCCCTGCGCCCATTCGCCCGTCCGTGCGTGCGTCTGTTCGTGCGTCCACACGTCCATCTGTGCTTCCCTCCCTGCTTTCGTCCATGCATCCGCCCCTGCGTCCATCCATGCGTCCATCCGTCGGTGCAGCCATCCGTGAGTCCTTCCATGCATCTGTCTGTGTGTCCGTTCGTCCATGTATTCAATTCTCCAAGTACCACCATCTCGCATCTTTTCATCATATATTCCGTATATTCACCACCATCCAGCGGACATTCCAAGGACTAAACGACAGGTGGCACGCGCACACTTCCTTATGGCTTGCGCTTCGTGTCTACTTCTCACCTTTAACCACCTCGAGTTCATGGTATATACTAGTTCATTGTATGCATGGTACTATGGCTCAACGCTAGCTATTGTTTTTTCTAAAATCAAGGAGGTTACGGCCAGGGAGTATAACGTAGCAACCCTTTCTTGTCAGATAGTGCTCAATGTGCACTCCGATGGCTGCTAAGGAAGAATGAGAGACAGGCGAATTCGGCTTTTAGTTAACGCGCACGCTGCGAATTTTTTTATTGTTCAACAACGCACAGAAGAAATCTTCTACCGGCACCATGTTGTAGTTCAAGCAGAAAGACTGGTTACACACTACTACTACTACTACGAGGGACGAACGGGGGCCGCTATAATGAGCTTCGCCCCTAAAACGCGACAAAAAAGTTGTTTAGCGTGGCGTCGAACCAGCGACTTCTCAGCACGCGGTGCAGGCTACTGGACCACAGCACGCACGTCGCTCGTCTATTCAACAGAAAGTCGTTTATATACAGCAGGCACCATTGGCTGTCCTGAGAGCTCTGAAATTTTAGCGGGTTTTGTCATAAGTAGCGAGATGGAGCAAGGGTTCCAGGTTAGGCACGCGCGTCCTCTAAAGGTAAGAGCCCCCACGCAATCCTACGCGTTGAGATGCGTGCGCGCCGCCCCTTGACCTGCTCAAAGCTTTTATTGGCACCGTCTGGTTTTTTATTGTGATCACAGCGTCAGAACGCAATGCCAAGCGGAGAAAGAAAAACGCAATGTTATAGAATGGAGTCAGTCAAAATGGAACGTGATGCCCGCGTCTCTTGCCCACGTGAGCGGGCGGACTAGTGCAGGGACACACAGGGACTGCGTTCCCCTTACGGCCAACGTCAGTTACCTTAGGATGGGCTAGTGCCAGCAACGCAGCTCCCTTTGGTCAGCTGACAGTTAAAACGGTGGTCTCCCACTCACCCGCGAGCTTACATCGGATTTCAAGAGCGTTGTACATCTTGCGCTTCCACCTCAAGCTTGCTTTCAAGCTAAAGGGAGCACGAAAGTCCCTTCACTCGCTTCCGCGGCCACGTTTAGGAAAAGAACGCGCTGCTCACGCACTAAAAAAGATGTGTGGAAGTCCTTCTCGTCAGTCCAGGTGTATACTTGTGTTCGTTTCATGAAGTTTTTGTGTTTTAGGAGCATGCTTCAAGTGTCAGCTGTGACAGTTTGTGCGTGCTCGTCTTGAGTGTGTTCATTTCGTACGTGATTTCTGCGTAAGGCGCATGCTGCAAGTTTCAAGACGCTCGCGCCGTTCTTCACGTGACTTTAAAATTCGTTGCTGTAGCATTCATTTCTCGCCCTTGTGATGAAAGAAGGCACCGTAAACGCTCATCCAGCAGCGTGTAGACACGTTTCACCTTTGCATTATAAAGATTCCAGAAGAGATGAATGAGCCACGCTTTTTTTCTGTTTTATTCGTGGAGCTTTGCTCGCACGTGATTTTATTCGCTTCTCTGAGGCACAACACGTTGGCCCAACTTAATATCAAAAAGCTTATATGTAAATTTCGTACAAATCAGTCGTACCATAAACGTGGAGGCGCTCTCCTTAAGTTATTTTTCTTTGGATAGAAGTATGACATAAGCGAAGTCATTGTGTAGTTCAAGGGCTGCGCAAAATCACTCTCAACTGTCTAAAGGGCACCCTCCGCAGCATTCTGTACGACGATGTATATATGCAGACTATGTAAGAAAATCCTTGAATAGAAGGCGTTAAGATGTTTTTTTAGGCTTTGTGAGAGACTTGTGTTTGTTATGAGAACACACTTTTCTTCCTCAGCTTCATGCATGCCCGCCAGTACTGAAGGATATGCAGGAATTTTCGCAAAATAAATAAAAAATGAAAAGGAAACTTGAGAGAGGAGGTGAAACATGAGCGTTTCTTGAACTTAGTTCACGCGAATGACATCATATCGTGAATATACCTTCTCTCTCCCACCACTTGTCCACATAACTTCTGAAAGAAGTAAAATTCATGACGCAGAACCATACTACACCCACTACAGCACATCCTAAGAGAGTATAGTCCTGGCACATGTATAATTAACCAATATTAGCCCCTAGAGCACCAAACTAGGTTATTTTCGTATTGCGGGGCACCACGCAGATCTGTTTCCCATGGTCAGTGACAGCCGCCCATTCCCAAGTTGCGGAACTCATGTGTCTATATAGGAATTTAAACTTTTTTGTCTTCATCATTAGCCTGACTATGTCCACTGCAGGACAAAAGCCTCTCCCATGTTCCGCCAGTTAACCCGGTCCTGTGCTTGCTTCTGCCAATTTATACCCGCAAACTTCTTAATCTCATCGGCACACCTAACCTTCTGTCTCTCCCTAACCCGCTTGCATTCTCTGGGAATCCAGTTAGTTCCCAGAGAATGCAAGCGGAATGCAAGCGAGAATGCAATCCAGTTAATTTAAGCTGAACAGTCCTTGTAAGTCTCCAGCTTTCTGCTCCGTAGCTAAGTACCGGCAAAATACAGCTGTTATATACCTTTCTTTTGAGGGATAGTGGCAATCTACCTGTCATAATTTGAGAGTGCTTGCTAAACGTGCTCCACCCCATTTTTATTCTTCTAGTTACTTCAATCTCGTGGTTCAGCTCCGCGGTTATTACCTGCCCTAAGTAGACACTAGACGTTTACAACTTGAAGTGCACTATTACCTATCTCGAAGCGCTGCTCTTTTCCGACGTTGTTGTACATTACTTTCGTTTTCTGCAGATTCATTTTAAGGCCCACCTTTCTGCTCTCCTTGTCTAACTCCGCAATCATGAGTTGCAATTCGTCCCCTGAGTTACTCAGCAATGCAATGTCATCGGCGAAGCAGAGGTTACTAAGGTACTCTCCATTAACTCTTATCCCTAACTGTTTCTATTCTAGGCTTCTGAAAACCTCCTGTAAGCACGCAGTAAATAGCATTGGGGAGATTGTGTCCCCCTGTCTTACACCCTTCTTGATTGGTATTCTGTTGCTTTCTTTATGAAGCACTATGGTAGCAGTTGATCCCCTGTAGATTTCTTGCAGGATGTTTATATATACTTCATCGACGCCCTAATTCTGCAGTGTATGCATGACGGCTGATATTTCTGCTGAATCAAACGCCTTCTCGTAATCTATGAAGGCTATGTATAGTGGTTGGTTATATTCTGGGCAATTCTCTATTACTTGATTGATAGTATGAATGTGGTCGATTGTTGAGTAGCCTGTTCGAAATCCTGCTTGTTTCTTTGGTTATTGAATTCTAATGTTTTCTTTACTCTGTTAACAATTACCTTTGTAAATAGCTTGTATACTACAGAGAGCAAGCTAATCGGCCTGTAATTCTTCGTGTCCTTGTCATCTCCTTTTTTATGTATTAAGATGACGTTCGTGTTCTTCCAAGACTCTGGTACTCTTCCCGTCAGGAAACACCTCGTAAACAGGGTGGTTAGTTTTTCTAACACAATTTGTCCTCAATCTTTCAACAGATCTGATGTTACCTGATCCTCACCAGCAGCTTTGCCTCTTTGCGTGCTCTCTAAAGCTTTTCTGACTTCTTCTATCAATACTGGTGGGGTGTCATCTGGGTTACTGCTAGTTCTTATAGTATTAAAGTCGTGGTTGTCCCGGCTACTGTACAGATCTCTGTAAAACTCCTCCGCTATTTTAACTATCCTATCCATATTGGTAGTTGTTTTGCCTTCTTTGTCCCTTAGTGCATACATCCGATTTTTGCCTATCCCAAGTTTCGTCTTCACTGCTTTGACGCTTCCTCCGTTATTCAGAGCGATGTTCAATTCTCTCCTTGGTATACCTTCTTACATCGATACCTTACGTCTATTAATCAACTTCGAAAGCCCGCTAAATCAATTTTGTCTGCTGTACTTGAGACTTTCATATTTGACGCTTCCTTAATAGATTCTTCGTTTCCTGGGTAAGCTTGCCAGTGTCCTATCTAACTACCCTGCCTCCAACTTCCACTGCATACTCCATAATGATACTCGTCAGATTATCATTCATTGTATCTATGCTAAGGTTGGTGTCCTCACTAAGAGCCGAGTACCGGTTCTGAAGCGAGACTCTATATTCCTGTACTTTCTCTCTCAGTGCTAGCTCATTGATTGGCTTCTTGCGTATCATTTTTGTCGTTCCTTTCTCAAGTCTAGGCGAATTCGAGAGCGTACCATTCCATGGTCACTGCATCGTACCTTGCCAACCACTTCCACATCCTGCACGATGCCTGGGTGTGCACTCAATATAAAGTCTATTTCGTTCTTTTTGTCTTATAGTACGTTAAATCTATGCTCAGGGTGCTCACTCCTAAGGCATGCTGTCACGCGCGCTGCTGATGAACGCGCGCAATCGAGAACAAGCTGCGCTTTGAGGGCGTTTGCATGCACACTTCCGAGCCAGTAGGCATGCGACTAAGGATATGTAGTGAAGAAGACGACAGTACCAATCCAAAGATGTTGTGTGAGTACATAGACCAGGGACGAAAAACATGCCCTGTGCGTCTTCATGCCCTGTGCGCCAGGGCATGAAGCAGAATACAAAACATTTATATACACAGCCAAAAGCAAAGCACACATCATTGAAGCGAGCTGACGCAATGTACTGGATGGGGCGCTACGAATGGCACTGGCACCTTCTTCTGAATGAAACAGTAGATGGGGCATGCGTCAGATAAATCAATCGCTATATCTCCAGCATTACTTTACCTTTTCAAATAGTTATTACGGCTACAATTTCCTGGCAGCCATCAGATTTATTTCAAGATGTTTAGAAATTATTACGTACACGCAATATTTTACAGAGGCCACAAAATATTGCTTTGCTTCGATCAGGCTTTCTCAGTGCTGCATGCAGTATACAGCTGGCCCCAACAGTCACACATAGTGGTCTGTCACGTTTACAATGCGGTGATCAAATGTGGAGAGACCACTGAGATAGTGGCGATACATTGGTTGGCCATGCATGGCCTTCTAAGGTTTCACATCACGGTTTTAAAAGTTATCCAGCGACCTCGGCATTTAAATCTTAGTTGTGGCTTAAAGAAGGTCATCAAAAATAACTCGAGATGTCCGTCTTACGGCCGTACCCATTAAAATGACAAGAATAGTTATTTTTTGTGGGACAAATGGATATGAATGGCAATACTGTGGTAAGTTTACTAACAAAAGCTGTTTGGGGTGGCCAAAAGTATTAAATCTGTCTGAAGTGGGAATGGTTTTAAATATTTAGGACAGTCGTTAACGAGGTGTTCCTTGTATGGGCTAGATACTAAACGTAAGAAACTGCAGTATTCAACTCGAAATATCTAAAGGGAGACTGACCAAACTGCAACGACTTGCAGCCGAACTTTGAAGTTAGTCGCATGAAAGAATGCAACTTAGTGTACCCGTGAATGGCGCATTGTTGCGGTGACTAAATTTGATTATCTCTATTCTCAACCACGGCGTTCTTTTTTTTCATCAATCAAGGGAACTTCCTTTTTTAGGAAAATAATAATAATACAAAGAATATTTGGACCGACAGCCTTACGGGCTCGTGGCTGTTTCATTAGAATGCTCACAAAGATTGTGCAGGTCAGCTTTGAAGGGAGACACCGAAACGGTCATATAAATACAGGTATTACACGTATATATATTTTCTTTTGCTAGGATACATACTTGGTAGGTTCCGACTAGCTTGTTTAACGTGGCACTCATTACAAAAAACACATGAAAATAAAACGAAACAGACATACACACAGGCTTACATATCAAACCTGTGTGTACAGAATAATATCTTGTGTGGCGAAAAAAAAAACGACTTGCATGCTAGGCCTTTAAAATCTTTCTGAATTTTGCTTGTACATTGGAGTAGAATTCAAGTGAGTCCCGGTGACACTTCATGTTAACCTCTGGCTTTGAGCTTCTGTCTACGAAACCACTTCTGTATTTCGTTATACTGGACCTTATATCACTTCCTCTTTCTTATTCCAGCCAAGATGCGAGTTAGGCAGGACTCTTAAGATGACTATGGCTGCTCATGGTTTCAGACATTGCGAAAAATGTCACATAGTGTTCTTCAATTAGGTTTCGTAGGGTAATGCGAAACCACTTCTGTATTTTGTTATACTGGACCTTTATATCACTTCCTCTTTCTTATTCCGGCCAAGATGCGAGTAAGGCAGGACTCTTAAGATGACTATGGCTGTTCATGGTTTCAGGCATTGCAAAAAATGTCACATAGTGTTCTTCAAACAATTTTCGTAGGGTAATACAACTCGTGGAGCTGGTCTCAGTGTTATATGACAGCAAGAAATGTGAAAGGTCTCTAATGTGTGTATTGTATAAAGATGCGTTTGATTTGTTTCAACGTATGCCACATTGTCTGAGCTCTACGTCCAGGTTTCCATGTTTCACATAAATGAATAAGTGTTGATATTTTGTGTAACTTTCAAGGAGATCACTTTTGCAGCGACATAACTGCAGGTTTCTTGGCGGATTGGCTCGCTGTCAGTGAGGCTCCTGAAACTGAGCTGTGGTTTCGCAGCAGCGGCGAAATGCGTTTCAGTGAATTCTTGGTGCTGCAGAGCGGCTACTCGTATATTCACATCGACCCACAGTTGTGGCCCGCCATCACATCCTGGAACTGGATTTGGGCAGTTCTGCAATTTCAACTTAAATGGCCGTACATCAAGGTTAGTGGATATTCTAAGCAGCGTCTCGTAGTTTTATGATCAAAACATTTCAAGCGTGGCATACGAGGGACTGCGCATAAATGCGTCTAATTTGCCGAGGAGTTTCGGAAGGCCCTTAATTGCTTAGATTAACAAAATTATTTCTAATGCCTCTATTTGCGTTTGTCATAGTGAAGAACTTTATTTGTGTGTAACTCTATCACTAAATATTCTCAGCGCATTTATCTTTGACTTGAAAAACCAGGTCACTTCGTTTATGGTTCTATTTCTGTTGAGCGAAAAAAAATGTAATTCACCAGTGTCCTGGGGAAAGAGGAGCGTTGGACAACTCTTCAAGTATTATGGAGCTTTTATCATAAGCAAGTTATCATAAGCAACAGTACACAGTGCAATGATTCAAGTGCAGATACAATTTCACGCAGATAACTTTTTATTTAACGATGAAGTACGTGCTTTTCATTAGACATGGCTCGACTCGAATAGAAAATGATGTTCTGCAATTTTATGTTCTCAATTGTTCGTATGAGGTCACATAAAAGCAGACTACGAACTGCTACTGCCAAACTCAATCATTGAAGTAAACACTGTCTTAAAGCCACTCTTTTTCTGTCATTTTACAAGTAATGAATGCGAAGCGAGAGATAACTCTGACAAAGACTTTTGTTTTCATTATTTCTGATGCAGGCCATTAAGGACAGTCATGGCAACTTGTGGGCATCTCCCCAAGACCGGAATGGCTGCGCGAGTATTATTCGTCAGAAGTCTTTCTTGAGGCGCATCAAATGTGCAAAGATGGCGTATCTAAGCAGCCAGTGCTTCAGCGAAATTAATCAACCGACGAACGCATCCTTGCTATTCTCCGGGAACCATCTTACTGTATAAGGCAGTAAACATTCTTTCACTACTTCTTCGGCGTGCAAACATCTCTTCTGAAAAGCTCAGTGTTCTAAGGAAAGTGCGGAGAATAAATTAACCATTGTCGGTGTATCTCTCATACGAATGACTCGTAATGAACATAAAACTGACACACGTGTCCATAGAAGTAGTTCCAACCTCGTACCTGATAAGAAGCTTTCACAGAGCTCATGGTAGTTGGGTTGGCAAGACAGCGTTGCAAATTGATGCATCGAAATTGAGGGTCATGGCTGAGAATTCTGATTAGGCTCTAAAGGGTTGCCAGAAGGCCTGCAAGCCTTAACGGGAGGTGCCTATATGAGCTAGTGCAAAGGTACATTTCATGATCACAGCACTGAGAGCCAAATATATGAATGGTAATTGCAGACACTGACATAAGGTCATGCAGCTGATTGTTTATCTTCTTGACCCTATTACGCGGAACATCCCATCAAATGTATGCGTAAGGATGCAAGAAGCTTTCAGTTCCCGGTTCATGCCCTTGCAGTTTCAATTCTAAAATGTGTAACGCTGGGCTTTCGTTCTTCGTTTTTGGAGCAGTTCATTACTTTTTGTATGCTGACGGGTTCTTTTTCATTCTCTAAGATATTTACCAGCGAAGCTGCTTAGCTTCATCGTAATTTCGTTATTCAAGCACCACAAGATTAGTTCGTCCTCACTTTTGGCTTCGTTAGCGTGACATCACTGAAGTGATTAATAACATACCTTTTTTTAATGGAGCAGCACAAAGATAGAAAAAACGAAACAGTGCAAAAAATGAGACACTAGTCGAAGGGGCACACATACAGAGCGCTGACTTACACATACAGAGCTGCTCATGCTTTGGTAACAGAGCGGCAGAAATACAGCCTAATAATCACAAGGTACCGCTTAGATGATAAATTTATGCAGTTGAAGGCATACTTAACTATGAGCTTATGGCGCCAACAATGGCAGTGTTAGAGACGGGGCACGAGTGGATGTAGGTGAGCTCATTAATGATAAAAAAGTACGGACAGGAGTGTCATTTTATAGTGCTACAGAAGTCACGCGAAAAGTAGCGACTGGCTTTCTTTATTCCATTAACACTAGCACATCAAAAGAGGTTTTTATGCCATATTTTAGTTTATGCTCAACAATGGTACATCAAAAAATATTGTTTTTCATTTCTGTTGTTTTCTCTGAAGTGATAACTAGACCGAGTTATAGAGAATTCCTGTCGATTGGAGTTGGCTCGTCGACGCACAATTCATTCACGCGTGCCATCCTGGTGGACTTCACTTGCCTCAAGAAAAAACGTTGACGAATGATTTTTCCAAGGTCTTTGTGGTCGCACGCTGAAATACGATGCGTGTGATGGTTCTCCTTCACCGCCTGCACTTAAGACACGCATAAGAAAGAACATGCATTCATGATTACTCATTGCCCATGCTTTCTGCAATAATTTTGCCGTTTTAGTTTCAGTCGGAGTTGTCACATTATGTAATAAATAAATATAACCCACTGAAAGGTACCTCAACTGCCTTCCTGTAGGCTGAAGTGCTGTGTGCAATCTTGCACCTAATCCGCCAATAAGTTTCGCAGTTTTTTTCGGGAGCAGCATACTGAACATAACTTGCTGCAGAGACTGCTCGTCATTATAGAAACACCAGGCTTCGCAAGTGCATACATTATACTTGTTGAGCAAGAACGGGACCCGGTGTGTCGTCCTTCCGTCATCTCAAGTGTTGGGACTGTAAGACGCTCAACATATGCGACAACAAGACTAGCAGTGCTCAAAACCCGCGCTAAACATAACAAAAAGGTCTAAAACATTATGGTGGGCCTCTTGTGCCTAAGGCTTCTTGTTACACAAGGTGGGTGGATCCAATTCAATATTGAAGCGATGTAGTCAAGAAGTAATCACATTAACCTAAAATCGCTGCAACGATCCGCCAACATGGATATCACTTTTTAGTGCACATGTGATGAGAGAGAGGCCACCACCACATCACCTAGCAAGCGAATGCCATTCCCTTGTGAAGCCCGTGCCTGAACGCTGCGTGGCTACATGACTAGATCTGATGACGGAAACAACCAGAAGGAATCGCATGCAGACAATGCGCATCGCAACTGCCCTTACAGGAAGAAAATCAATAAAGCAAACCAAAAAGTTAAGTACATCTCGCACACCAATTATGCGAGTCTACTCGCAATATTTCACTTTTCAGGCCGATTACTGGCTAGGGCTCTCAAAGAAAGAAAGGAATGTCGAAATCAAGCATGAGAAAAAGGCCCAGCTGTGTGGATGTGTCATGGTCTACAGAATAGCACTCTCGTGTGGTAGACGTATGTGTCAGACATCCGACATGCTTTTGTTAACAATAGGCTGAAGGAGCACAACGCCTTTTTTGAAGAACGTGGCCAATTCTAATCTAGCTGTGCACTCTAAATCATGTGGATACAGTCTTGTTTTCACAAACACCAGATAATATGCGGTGAGGTCATGGAGGATATACATAGAAGTGGTAAAAGCCTCTCAAATTGTTAAAAAGAAACTGTGTAAGCCGAGATTTAGTAAATTTGTATGATAAAGTGTTTGATTTTCTGGGGCAGGCGTTTGCAATAATTTTCATCCTTACAACTTAGACAAGATGCTGAGGCAGTCCTTGGCACGTTAACTTGCAGGTTGCTTATATGAATGTGTACGTGCAATAAATCGTTCATTTGCGAGTCAGCACTTTATTTAGCGTCGTTTCTTCACCTTATGTCTCAGCTCATTTTGTTATGCGCTGCTAAATTGGGATAGGAAGTTCATTCTTTTGGTTAAACTTTTTATTTGGACAGAAAAAAAACACCGAATCTACTGCTAGACTTCCAAGCATTTCAATGCTTTTCGTAAAACTATAGGTTCCAAAATAAGGGACTTGTAAAATAATCTTAGCTCTCTTGACGAATGAAAAGAAAATCGATTGCTGCGTCGAGATGATTTAGCGTAATGCGACGACGTATGTCCTCCTTCATAAGAGCAGGTACCGCTGCCACGCTATCTGTGACTGTACGACATGTCACTTGTAAGTCTCATTTAGTTTTCATCACCTCGACGTTGCCTATTGTTTTGCCTAATGGAGGCTGAACAGAAAACTCCACTGTAACAGTAATAACTTCACACCCACCTTGATATGCGGCCAGTTGAGTTGAAATTGCACGATCGCCCGGACCCAGTGCCAGATTGAGACTGCGGGCCAAAGTTCTGCTTCCCGGTGCATGTACGCGTAGCCACTCTGGAGCACAAGAAATTCGCTGAAGCGCCTTTCGCCGCTGCTGCGGAACCACAGCTCTGTTTCGGAAGCCTCATTGAGTGCCAGCCATTCAGTTACCAGACATGGGCAGATGTCACTGCACGAGTGTTGCAAATACATTTAGGTGCTTATAATCCGCATATGAACATCTTTATTCCAAAAAACTATCTTCGATGAAATAGAGTTCTGTTATTGAGTCATGATTGAATACCTCAGTTCGGAAGCCAAATCATCGACTCATGTCACCACATGGGTGGTTTCACATAAATTTGCATGCCTATATTAAGTATATAAACATATTATTTCATACAACGTGCTTGACCAAATACCTCAGTTCAGAGGCCAAGCCCCGCGTCAAAAGTTACTTGACATTAGTGTCTACTCATAACTTTATTTTATGTCTGCTTCGTTGGTAAAGTGGTTGCAGTGCTCAGCTGCAGACGTGAAGATGGCGGTTCAGCCTCTGGCCACTGGGATGAGACTTTGGCGGACGTGTACAAGTGAGCGCAGTTGTACTGTGCAATATCGGGGCACCTTGAAGAACACCGGATGGTTTATATTGCGAGAGTCTTCTTACGTGCTGCTCTTTAAAATCATATTGCGCATTTGGCAATAAAATCCCTGCTATTATCAATATTTTTACGATAAGAGCGCTATTACTATTGTTATTACAGTTAAGGCTGGTATCAGATCACCACTTGGGCAGCGTACAACGCCATAGTTGTCCGCCGCCACCGGTGTCTGTAACCCCTATTGAAGGAAAGAGGAAAAAAACTTGGTAATTAAAAAACAATAATGACGCAATGGCATTCAAACCCTGGTCCCCGGCAAACCAGCCCATTGTTTTACCACTGAGGCATGCCAGTTTTTTTTTGATTGCTTATGCACATACAACAATGTAAAGTAAACTTACACCTCTTTGTAAGAGGTAAGCTTTCCAACGTGTACATGCAAGACCCATTGGGAAGGTACGTAGCTTAGTAGGACTCGGACGAATCGTAATATCTCACTGTTGGTTTGATGAAATTATAATGTTGAGGCTAAAAAGAGAAGCTAGAGCAGATGTTACAACACCCATATCTAGCGGTGCTGATTTAAAAATAAGAAGATTAGATTTCAAGGCAATTGCACTGAAATCAAAGGCGCAGAAATTATATAGACAAATCAAGAAGCCACCACTTCATTGCTCATTGCTTCCAACGTATCTTTTTTTTTCTTGGTATATTTAGTCCATTTATTCTAGTTTGCAATACGACATCATGTTGCATTGTTTTTTCTCCTTTTTACACTTCAATAACTCTGTCTATTAGGTACTATTGTGCACCAAGCTAGGTTTATTAAGTTTTAAGAATTACAAGCCATGTACGCTTATAAACTTTATTTTGTTTTACGGTGTCACAGTCCTGTCAGAAGGGCCTTCAGGCACTCTCAAGCTGTTTGCAGCAGCCTTTTGCTAGAAGGACCCTCTCTGGATGGTCATAACATAATGAAAATAGAAATTTGAAATATTATTTTGTATGCGAATCTAGGAAAAGAAGAATGCACGCTGAGAAATTGAAAATTGATTGCTCACTGACAAGAGTGTAAAAGATTATATTTGCTTTCGTAAACTACAAACTATAGAGAAATGAAGTTTCTAACATCACTGAAATCAAGCAAATGCATTTTTTACCGGCCCCTGCATTGTGAGTCGGAGAGGGAAATAAATAGCCGTCATTTTTAATTACAATAGTTAACATACTATACCTTTATATTCCTTAAAGACCCTCCAGGGGGTATTACATAAATAATTGGTTAACATATAAAACTTTTATTGCCATAACTATTCATCTTAATTAAACACAACCAAAATTAACACACCCAAAACTAAACTCACTTGATTTCATTCACAAATGAGACCATCCGCCTTAACTTTACATATACTATACGAAACAACATTATCGACAAAAGCGACCAAGTAAAATACTTAGGCGTTACTTTCTCATCGAATCTCAACTGGGAACCACATGTTTTAGCCATATGTCGTAAAGCAGAGAGGAAGCTATTCTTCCTGAGGAGAAAATTGTTCTCTGCACCATCACACCTTAACCTAATGCATACAAAGCACAAATTATACCATGTTTAGGGTATGCCCATTTCATTTGGAGTCCACATCAAAAGCACCTCGTTAATAAAATAGAAAGAATACAAAAATTGGCATTCAGATTTGTATATTCAGACTCCTCGAGGCAATAGAGTTCTGCAGGCTTGCTCGCAAGTGCAAACTTAAAACCTCTCTCGCAACGCAGAATTATCTCGCGACTAAAATGTTTTTACCAATTATATCATGGCCAATTCCGCATATCGCGATCTCATTACCTGCTTGACCCTCCCAAACACTCATCGCGACTGAAACATCCTAAAACTAACCACCAACCTTACAGTCAAGTTAACGCTCACAAACATTCCTTTTTTCTGACAGCTATCCACTATTGGAATAGACTAGACAACAATATTGAATGCTGTAACACTATTCAATCATTTATGAACTTAATACAGTGTGTACATTTTGAATTATGAGCCGTTTGATATTATATCTTCTTTCTGGTTCTTTCGGTATGTATTTTCTTTCAATGCTTAGTATGTATCTTATTGTCTCCACTCCTGCATGGGCCGTGAAAAGCCTGCAGTGTGTTAAAATAAAAAAAATCATAAGTCTTGAAAAATGGGCACATAATTGATCAAAAAAATGTTGGGCATTCAGCGGTGACAAAATCATGAGGAATGTCGTTCCAGTCTTCTGCTGTCTGTACAAAGCAGGACATAGAAAAGATGGTCGTCTTAATTCGTGGCCGGGCAACTTAAAGTGAATGATAAGTGCGGTGAAATATGTGGGCCGGTGAAATGATGTACGGATGACGAAGCGTGCTGTGGAAAAACATATGGAAAAGGCTTGAGCGTATACTTACTCTGATTCAATGACATCTGCTTTGACGGCATTGGCGAAATCATTCACCATATTCTTCAGGCCGACCTTACTGCTGTAAGCTATGCATAATCTCAGCATCTTTGTTCTGCAAGATATAAAAAACTGTGTTCAGAATTTACATCATTCAAGATTGAAGTCGAATACCAGATACATTTTCTTGCACAAGTTGTTCGGTCTTTGCCTCATCATAATTTCATTTATCAATCTGAAGAATAGTCTTGGCAGAACCTAATTGTAAAATCTTTCTGTAACCCTCATTCACGCCTAACCAACACCATCTCGAAACTGCGCCCGAAGAATCGTCCCTAAAATGCTTAATGATTTGTTTGTTTGTTTGTTTATTTGTAGCCTAGAATCCATGGCTACTCTGGGGGATTGGCCAAGAGAACATATAGTCTCATATGGACGATAACTGCACTATTTTTTACAATAAAAAAAGGGGGGGGAGTTGTAGAGTGAAGACAGTATATTATTAGAAACCAATGATTAAGATAGTGAAAGAAAAATCAACAAGAAAGTAGACCCTAATAGCTATACCTTGAATTTGGGAGCCGACCAGACAGTTGGTTTTGCCAAACTCGAATAAATTTGTATGTCTCGGATTTCCCCAGATTTGAAAATTACTTTCCGTCCCGTTTTTTTGAGTACCTGTTAACGTGGACTTTATGTTGAAAAACGTTTCGAGTCTTGAATAAAATTACACACCACATCGAATGCATCTCCGTGGCAATTTCCCAAAACAGAGGCACCAAAATTTAGAACATTTGCTGTGGTTAAATTTAAACCAAGCTTCGCAAATGGGATATCTAGAAGTCGTTTCCTAATTAATGCATAGTTCCGACATGAGCCAAAATAATGTTCAATAGTTTCTGATTCTTCGCAAAACGGACAAAGGGGCGAAGTGTCAGACCAGCTCTGTGTAAATAAAAATGTAGTGGGGGGACACGGCACCCGAATCTGGAGATCATAATTTCAAGTTTTTTTTTTGAAGGACTTAACTGGGTTTTCCATGGGAATTTGAGGTGCTGACAATCTATTCATTGTGTGGTCTTTTCGGAACTATTTGTAAAAATAGCGAATTTTCTATATGTAACCCTTTATAAGTACTCTAACTCGGGAAGTACTGAAATTCCTGGTCCATCAAGGGATGCTCATGCCAAAGCAAATGCCAATTCATTTAATTGTAATGCGCAGGGACCTGGGACCCTCACTAATTTGAGGATGTTTATATGCGGTGGTGCTACTGTGTGGAACGCTGCTAGGGCACGGGACTGTTCGGAGGTTGTTAGAGCTGCACACACCGAAAGTGAGTCTGTTAGAATGACGGCTGATCTCGGTCGTAGGAATTTTACGAAGAGCTAAAATAATAGCTACTAGCTCGGCTTCAAATATAGAAGTGAAATCTGGAAGCCTTACTGAAAAAGACCAGCCGAGGAAATCAGATGCAATTCCTACGCCTGGCTTTTCATTGTTTGCAGAAGCATCTGGAGCTATTACATTTTTTCGTTTCTGCATGTACCAAGTAATCTTTTAATGTAGTGGTCAAAAATTTAAGAGACTGCCACTTGGCTTCTCGGGGGAAGATTTCATCGTACTCTATTCTAATGTTCAGGGTTGAGGAATTAGTTTCATTTACTGTGCTAATGTCTACATTTATGCAATCCAGTTTCTTTTTAACAAAAATGATCTGAGGAGTATGAAATCGAGGCCAATGTGCAAGAAAGAAAGAGTCAGAGTCGCTGATAAATGCGTACTCTGAGCTTTGCACCGGTAAACTGTATAATTTTAAGAAGGTTTGAACCGTCAGAATGCGGAATCGACAGAGAAGTGTTGGCAATCGCGCTTCTTGGTACAATACATTATTCGCCACGAACCTGGGAAGTCCGAGGCATATTCGCAGGGCTTCTCGCTCTAACATTACTAGCGATTTAATTTTATAACCAGCGGCCCCCGAGAATAATACACACCCAAATTCCAATATTGGACGCACATACATTTTATATATCAATAACATCGTAGTCTGCGCAGCCCGTATTTTCTGTTGCTTAACCTGCGTAATAAACCTAACGCCCGTTGTGCCTTTACTGTTATATATTCTATGTGTGGGCTAAAATTTAGCTTTTCATTAGAAGTCATTCCTAAGTACTTCACTGAATCTACGTGTGGAATAGGTTCCCGATTATATAATACAAAAATTCAAACCGTATCTGCTATAGGAAAAACGAAGAGCGCCATTTTACTTATGTTCAATGACAATGAAATGAATTGCAACCAAATTTCTGGAGTTATAATATATCTTTGCAATTTTTGATGTAGTGAGTAAATGTCACTCTCTGCAGCGAAGAATGCGATATCATCTGAATAAATGTAGACACTGACATCCTGAACAATTGGAATAGAGCTCATCAGTATATTCAACAATGCTGGAGATAGGACGGACTCTTGGGGAACACCACGTTTCTGTTTGAATTTATGCGAACAACAGCCATCCTTCACGCGGTACCAGTTCCTTGATTTTAAGAATTCTGCTATCAAATCAGTAATATAATGAGGAAACTTTCGGCTCTGCAAGGTGTTCAGTAGAATAGAGTGCTCGACACTGTCATACGCTTTAGCTATGTCGAGAGTTACTAATGCGGCGTACTGTTTTCTTTCACGAGCAAGCTGTATTCGACTTTCTAAATCCGCATGGGCGCACCGAATTGAGCATTCACTGCGAAAACCAATTTTGTTTGGCTTTTATCTGAACTTATTCGTCACCAAGGAGCTTATTCAGCTATTTAAAACCCTCGCTATGAATTTCACCATGTTCGAAGTTAGCGAGATGGGTCTGATATTTTCTATGGCAAAACCTAATCCTTGCTTTATAATTAATGGGATTACTTTAGCTATTTTCCAGTCATACGGTACCCAGGCAATCTTTAAAGAGTAGTTTATAAGATTGAGGACGTCGCCGGGGGATAGCTTGAATAAAATTTTATTCATAGAATACTGTGATTCCATCTGGACCAGGAGCTGACGAGGGTAGATTTCGAATTACTTTTGATGCTTCAGACAGCGTTACGTTTTCGAAGTCAGTGCTTATTCTAGACTTTTGCCAGTTGAAAGACATAGTCGAAGAAAATCTCATTTCTAGACCTCTGCCAATTTACTCTAAAGAGTTTCGGTGCGCTCTTCTTCTTCGTCTTCAGCTCCACTATGCCTCACAATTTCAATAACTGGTGTTAGTGAAGTGACAAAAAATATCTAAATTTATTAACAATTTGCGTTGATTCACTTTTTTCGCTAATACAGTACTTTTCTCGGTAGAGCCTAAAAGTGACACTTTGCCTTCATCTCAGCACAACTTCTTCAAAAATTATTTCACCGTTCTCTTCGCGACTTGAAAAAAACTGCTCAATTTAGTCATAATTTTAATAAATGGACAACGAACAGTATCCTTGACTTCCTCGCTTGAAACGTGTGGTACAAAAAATGCCATCGTAATTACTTCTATACTTCCTTGAATATGATAGGAACCTGGAATAACGTAGTTACAAGATTAAGCTTCTAAGATACTCAAGTTTTAGATGTTCTTAAGTAAAGGAAAGCGTTCAGTGCTTCTCAGTCCCTAGGTCATAGCTAAAAAGTTTGCCTTGATTATATTCGTGCAGAATCACTAGTCTAGGTATATTATGCACGCAAATAGAACGACATTGATAGTGGCTGCCAAGAACACGTTTTTTTTTTCTGTGGCGGTCTGTGGCTGTAAAGTCTTGGTATGCTCGGCCATAGAGGTGCCCATCAGAAGGCGAATATTGGTCTCTGATGCACTGGGTCTAATGGAACACAGTGGAATTAGTGTTAGAACAGATAAAAAAGTTCCGTTTTTTCTGAGAGAGCAGGTGCTACAAGCTTATAAATGAGAACAAACATTAATGTCAAGGAAAGTATAGGGGATGATCCTATGAGCTCCTGTAGTGTAAAACTGTACAAATAAAAATGAATTAAAAGATAACTAGACACCGGCTGGATCCAAGCCTGTTCTGCTCGACGCACGCATCTGATGCACTACCACTGTGCTACGGTGGTATTCATTCCCCCATCCACATTTTAGGGTATACATGTGCATATAAACCTAGGAGCGTCATTCAGCGCCATTCCTTGCAATTACGGCCAATAATTGTCATTACTTTCCAGCCCTGCACAACATCAGTATTGTGTTTTACATGCTCTGTCTACCAATATATCCTCTCGCGCGATGGCTCGAATCTCACGGAGGCTTCGTAGTAGGATATTTGACAGGAAACCCTAGATGAGCATTACCTAATGGGCAAAGCTGATTTGTCACCTTACGACGGATTGTATTCAGGAGACATACGCTAAGTCAGATTGCTACTGTTCTCAAGATGCTAAAATTTTACAGGAGTTCTTGTTGGCTAAAACACACAATGCATAGCCGCGTTTTCGAAGAATTTTAGCAGAGGAGAGGACTTGTCGATTTTGTCTTGTTGCAGAATCGTTCACCTTCACTAATCATTTTAGGCTGTCCTCCAATGCGTAATTGAGTATGTAGTGAAGCTTTGAACGAAAAACTATAGCAGGTGTTTTTGGTTGAGTGCGCTTCAGCGATCCCAACTTACTGCCACACGGAGGAGTATGTAGCGATCATAAACTACGTAATAAATAAAAACTGAATAATCGTCTCTCTTGAAAAAAATGTGGTGTGCGAATGAATTGTTTCTGCCAATCCTGTCGGTGCGTGTTATCCTTGGGAAAAGTAGAAAAAAAACACCAGGACTGCGTGCAACGCCCAGCACAGTCACAGCAAAAGCCGGAAGCGCGGCCTTTCGCAGCCTCTTCTAAACACTCTTTGGGCCACAAGATGGATGCACACAAGATGGGTGCCCACTACGACATAAATAATCATAAATTTTCTGTAGTAGGCCGCCATTCATTGAGCTATTCTTCCTCACACTTTGGGGAAGCTTGGTATTCCCTGTTTTTCGAGGCATTTTTTGCAAGAATATATGCAGTGACTGACGAGGATGACGAACTATGCCTGAAGTCGGTATAGCCGACAGTTAATAGGGGATCAAGAACAAGATTCTGTAATGGCTCGGAGCAATGTAGGATTCAATCGTTGCGCAATTCGAATTGTAGGACGCCTGGTTGTTCTGCTGTTCTAAAACGCTTAATGACTTATATTACCACGAATACTTTCTCCACATCAAGTGTTTAAAAGGCTAGTTTTTAAGTGAGTTTCAAGCAGCAGCGTGGCTTGGTAGAAAACTGTCATGGCACGCAGGCTCTGCCTCTCATTTCCCGTTAACAGTGATTGGCATGTCCTCGTAGAAAAGATCGGTCCATCACTGCGTGCTTTGAGCTTTCTGAGGTTTCTGTCTTGCGCAACACCGCTATGAGCGCCAGAGACAAAGCCGCCAGCAGTGTGAGAGTTAGCTCCCACTCTTTCGCATCTACTCATGGTTTCCTTGAGCTGGAGATGTAATTTTTTGAAGGGAGTTAGCTTCGAAGGGAGATATAAAACTCCAAGCTGTAATAATTCAATGTTTTCCTTAACCTTTAGGTTACCATGGCTAAAGCTTTCTTCAATACTGCAAACATGTATACTTGGCTTTAATTCATCTCTCTCGTGTCTCTCTTCCCTGCTTTTTTCACTTCAACATAGAATTGATCGGAGTGGTTGCGCAGTGGGTGTTTCGGCTTCGTGATTTCTCACCTATGCCGCAGAAGGGACGACCAATAAATATCGGCGAGAACATTCATTGGCGGAGAGACATCCGAGTTCTTCTCTTACCCTATAGTTCATCAAAGAATACACCGTGATTCACATACCTAACAGGGAGGAGGAAATTTCAGATAATTTTTATCACGAAACCGTTATATGCCGGGGGTCCTTTAAGCTTTCATTGACGTACTTCCGTCACGGAAATGATGTCTAAAAATAACATTTAGATCACCAAGTTCCGTCAGCGGCCGTCGAACCCACAATTTCTCGCTGGGCGACAACATTTTTAGGGTATGCTATCCCCTGCACCACCATCACATACTTTGTAGGATTTAAAAGCAGGTCTTTTATATATACCACTGCCCTCTCGCGGTACTCTTGGTAAAGTGCATCATAGAATCATTACCATAGAATCCAGGATTAGTTCCGAAATGCCTTCAATGCGTCGTTTTGTCCGTGTCCGTCCTAATTGATGCGTTTTCAATAGAATCGGAGTTTTGTGAACACAATAACAGCCTGTCAGGTTGTGACCTTACCCAAAGAGTTGGTGTGACTAAAAGCATTCATCCATTTCTACCAAAAATAGTTCTGCGGTATACCAACCATGCAAAGCAACGCGCTTGCTTAATCTGGTTGTAACTTTGCGTTGCCCGCTTACCCTCGCCACGCGAGAAATCATGGCCGGACAAAAGGGAAGTCACTATGCGCGTTGCGTTTCCCTCCAATCGGGCAGTGGCAATCACTAATTCGAACATGTCATGAGCAGCCGACGTTACGAAACGTTTGGCGTACAATAAGTCGCACTCCTCTGGCTGTCACTCTGCTTTCTTTGGTTCTGCTGCCACCTTTTACTACTAGAGCTATATCGGGCATCATTAATCATTATTCAGTTTTTATTCACGGACGTTAGTCGTCAGGATGAAGATGTATTAGTAAGCGTCAACGTGGATGTATTTAGCTGTCTCAAACGCAGAGGCATCACATAAGCGCTTTTATATTAATGTACAGCAAGCATTAAACTACTTTTTGTAAGGAGATGTTTTACTTTCGTGTTATAACGATTCCTAGGATGGAGGGATCAATCATGTTCGTTTACCTGCTGTCGGCATCAGTGTTGGTCTCAATTCGTGCCATATTTTGTCGCAAATCCTTGGATAGTAGGTCAAGACTTCCTGCTGTGCTGACTTTGAAGTTTTCTTGACTGAAGATTTCTCTGTAAAAGAAAACAACGTGAAAACGTATTGCGCGCTGAATTAAAAAGAAAGGCGCACATTCAATAACTAAATGATTTTTTGTTTGCGTTTGGCAGCTTAACCGGCACTCGTCAGGCTATTCTAACCAAGACCAGTCCCACTACCCAAACATTGTATGTGAACTGCGTTGTATGTGAGCCGAAGCCATGTTGTTTAACACGAAGGTCTTTATGCAGCATCCACGAAGATGTCAATCGCGTAATAAAAATTGCGCCTTACACATCATAGTTGGTTGGTTAGACGACTTAGTCACTGATAGCGGGACGGCTTTCGGCTCTCCTATAGTAGAGTACAAAGTATTCTGAATCGTTGAACACTTTTTCTAAACACACGTATTTCTATCACAAAAGTGACGTCGAAAAAATACATACACTTAGAAATTATGTAAAAGACATTGGCTCCGTATCTGCATGTTACACTGCACATGTCTTCGAAAGACGATATTCTTGCGTCAGGAGAGAGTGGACAAAACGTTAATTTGATGTTCTGCGCAAGAAACTTGGTGAATGGTGTAGACCCTTTTCATAAATACGCCACCTGACGGTGAGCTTTTCGTCAGTTTCGCTTCGCAAAAGAGCGTGGGATAGCTAGCGCCACCATGAGGGCATGGAAAGCGAGCCGTCAAATGTGTGAGTGCTGTGTTGTTTGTGTTGGCGGCTAGTTCTCCGTATCATCCTGCTGATATCGCACCGCTTTCTAGCTTGAACGAGCTCCTAGTACTCTCCTGTAAGCATTTTGAGCTGCTTCCGCTGCCCAATGAGCAACATTTTCTAATCTTCAACGGGTTCGACGAGCAGTTTGGCTTGGTATAACTGACAATGCATGGATCTGGCCTGCAAGAGACTCTCATCGGCGCTCCCTCCCGATGCGGTCCGCGTCCTGCAGGAATGCAAGAGGTGTCTGTGTGCCCTGCATGAAACGCGCATCAGTGTCACTGGGAAACAGAGCCTCCGTCGTCTGCTGCGGTGCCCTCACAATGACGGCAGACTACAGTTCACGTCCGTGGCGCTAGGGGTACCCTATTTCAAAAAAGGTCTAGTGTGTATCGGAGGCGAACGAGAGCTTCAAGTGACGACACACGTGTGACATGAGCGCTATGTGGCAGTTATCTTGGAAAACGAAGTGCGCGCGCCCTGCGTGCCTGTCTGGGAGGTGATAAGGTGTAGAACGTCGGGCGACGGGCAGGTGCCACCACCATGTCGTCCCAGCAAAGCGTTGGAAACACTTGCCTTTTTTTGCAAGCGCTTCCTGGTCAGCGAAACGTGATAAACGTTACGGTCCTTAGTATTACTTAAGAATTATTCTTCTACTAAGAGACACACGTACAAAATATTGACGTTCCATGGTGCCTCAGATATGTGCAATAATTGCTTTTTAATTGACAATCACACAAGTAGGAACACTCAACCTTGAGCAATATCGGTGGGTGCCGTTTGGAGTATTGTTTCGCCACTTTGGTGTCAATTAGGGTACTTTTAAGGGCGCACAAACAGACAAAAGTGTAGACAAACAGGCAGACCAAAATTTTTGCGTCGAATGTCTCCAAGGAAGACTATCGTCTTTAAAATTTCCGTCAATGGGAGTCAAACCCAAGAGCCTTCAGTTCGCGACAACACGGGTCGGGCCACTTCCCAGTGCATCTAGGTCACATATTCGCAAAGCTTCACCAAGGCCACTGGATAAACGGTCATCACTTTCCAAACGCGCTTTTTATAAAACTCACACATTTTATAAAGTTACACTCAACTTCGTTTCTACGCATCCGTCCAATTCGGCACGTTTCTTATAGGAGAATGGTTAGTAATTTCACGCTCTACTTTGCTCACCCCGCAAAAAACAACGGCGGGTAAACAGTATGGAAACCGTTCAGGGGAGTTTTCCTGCCTGACTGCAGCGCCAGAACACATCGCCTAGCGAATAAAAACAGAAATTTTGAGACGGACATCGGTGAAAATGGAACGCGATGCACGCGTCTGCTGTAGGCAGATTGTGGTTGACTGTACAGTGGCGTACCGACTCTTTGGCGAGTGGGGGGGCATACCTACCTCACTTGTCAGCTGATATATGTATATATAACAAACCCGACTCATAACTAGGCCTTCATAGTGCAAAAAATCATGGCCTTTCAGCTTCTCCCTGATCTGGTTGGTCAAGCTGCGGGGTAAGAATAAAAGGTTAGCTCCCCCTGTGCTCGAGTCCACTGCTTTATTACACCTCACAAACGCCACTTTACAAACTGCTGCCATCGCTCCTAGTTACCATAAGCAAGGCTGATCATATTTATCAGAGACTACTGAGGACACTTTCTTTTTGGCGCTTCCAGTACAGCTAAAGTAAAGCATTTCAAAAGATTCGTAACACACATCGGCTCACAGCATGCAGCTTCGACAGAACAGTGGTGATGCTTTTCATTTCAACGCATCATCATACGCCTGTCAGACAATGCCGTGCCCTTAGCAACAATATTGCATATGTTTCTTACAGCCATCTTCTCTGCTACCACTGTGAGGGAGCCTGCCTTACCTACCGTTATACCGAACAAAACTAGATGGGACTCAGAGCCTCCGCCGCCAACGCGCTGTGTCTAGAGTGCGGGGAACGACCAAGTGACATCGCCGAGCACCTCGCAGAAGCGCATTGGACACCTCTAAGACCTTCCGAATCATTGTCGTCAGGCAGCCACAAGGCAGCGCTGCGCCGGCCGTAAACCGCTGCCGCGAGCTACTGTCCGAAAACCTAAGAGCACAGCCTCCGCCACCGCCGAGGATCACTGAGAATTCTGACACACAAAAGGGTAGTTACATAAATTGCTACAACAAAAGAGAGCGCAGTAAGCCAGAGTTCTTGTTTAATATTGCGACCGTGGAGCTTTCAAACGCCCACTCATAGAAAGAAACCCGCAGCCAAGGTGGTAGCACAAATTCCTCCATTCGACACAGCCTACTAAAATTGATCATCTGCACATTGACCATTCAGCGGATGTTTTCGGGGCAAAAAAAAAATATTCACTGCAAACTGCAGTTACTGGCTCCAACGCATGCAGGTAACGAAGATTGATAGCTTTCATTAGATTGTTTTAGCTGGAATTTTACTAAAACATTATAAAACAATAAAAGCTTACAAAGAATGAAGAGATTTGATGAAGAACCTCTTGAGCTCATCCAGAACAGTGCCAATTTCAGTGGTGTTACGGCTGAAGTTACGAGCACTGAGCAGGAAGCCAGAGACCTCGGTGACACCCAGCGCTGACATATGGTGCCATGTCTGTATAAATCGAAATCCATGAGTGATGGCAGGTAGCGCAACACCAAATAAATGCAGTTTGAACTAGACTTTACGTATTTCGACAACAGTAAGTTAAGTATAATAAAACTCTAAAATCACAGCACGTATGGTTGGGGTATCGTAATAATCATGTTCGGAACCTTCTCCAGTCAAGCAAAAAGCAAATTCACCGCAAGCTATGTTTCAGCAAGCTATGTGTGGCCCTCGGCGACGTCAAGAATGACGTCGCCAAGGGCGACACAGTGACAAATGCACTCGCAGAGCATGCCGAGAAGACGGGCCACGAGATAAGCTGGGACAACGCACGCATCATGGCCACGGAGAACAATTCTACAACCAGACTTAACCTCGAATCACTAATCATTCAGACGACTTGTAACTCAATCAATAGATCATCTGGCACACTAAACCACGTGTACTCATGGACTTTGCGTTATGCGCTCAACGTTACATAAGAACCTGCTGCTCAGCCGTCATTCCATTGTGAACAAGGGATCCGTACGGGTCCCGAAACGTCATTGTTTTGTTTGACATTGGTCAGTGACCTGTTTTATTCAACAATGCCTTTACCTGACCAGACGGCATTCGGTCGAACTCTCGACTACGAATTCAATGAATAGTACCTTGTACTGCTGTAACATGCAATCGACAAACACTCCCCAACTTTTCCCGCAAGAAACCTGAACAAGTGACAAATGGCGGCCAGCCACTTTTTCACGTAGTTTACTTGTGGAGGTCCAAGACAGGTGTCGGTCGATTACGACTCCCAAGAACCTGTGGCTCTGTTTGCATGACACCAACTGCCCGTTAATTGATATGCTGTAAGTGGACTCTGGCTTTCTGGTGAAGGCCACGACTGCACACTTTGGACTTGCGATTTCGAGCGCTTGTTTGCGTAGGTGTGCGATGTCACTGATGCTGCCTTCTGAAGTCAAGCGCGAAGTTGAAGTCGAGTCACACCTGATGTCCACACACAGATGTCATCAGCATAAATGGAAAGTCGTACACTGCTTGGTTGCTTGCCAACTAGTCCAATGAGTGTTAGGTTGAACAGCGTCGGGCTTAGCACTCCGCCTTGCGGGACTCCTCGGTTTCAGTAATACTCAGGTGTCGGGCCACTCTCTGTCTGCACGTGAAATGATCTATTCTGTAGGTAGCTCTGAACCCGCGTGTATATCCTGCCACCGAGTCCCACTCCTTCTAGTGCGCTGAGAATGGCTTCGTGGGTGACATTGTCATATGCCCTTTTTACGTCAAGAAACAGAGCAGCAGATAACCGTTTGCAGGCCTTCTGGTGCTCTACATATGTCACCAAGTCAACTGCATTGTCAATTGAAGAGCGGCCTCGTCTGAACCCGGACATGTCATATGGTTATATTTCGTAGAACTCCAAGTACCATTCTAGACGTGTTGAAATCATTCTTTCCATGACTTTTCCCACACAGGTGGCGAGGGCAATCGGGCGGTAAGAGAAGATGTCCAAAGGTGACTTGCCAACTTTGAGAAGTAGAATAAGGCGACTTGACTTCCATTCCCGTTGAACCATGCCAGTTTGTCAGGAGTCACTGTATAGCAGTAAGAGTGCCTTCCGAGGTTTGCCTCTTAGAAGACACAGAGCGCGGTAAGTGATGTCATGAGGTCCTGGCTCTAAAGAACGTCTACACAAAGCTAGGGCAGCCTTTAGTTCTTTCATTGAAAACGAACACTCCATTCGGAGATCACGTGAAGATACAGAAAAGTCGGGCTTCTTCGTCCCAGTTGAATTCGCCCTGCTGGCAATCCTTCGACAGAAAGAATCTGCAACATCAATCTCTTCACAGCGTAAATGAAGTGCCAGAGATTTATATGAGTAGTGCTGAGTAATGGTTGCACGAAGACCCCGGACAGTTCTCCAGATTAGTGACAGAGGCTTTCTGGGATCCAAAGACTCATAAATAGATACCCATCGTCGCTTATCCAACTTGTCCAAGTGACGCTGTATTTTCTTTTGTGTGCGTCCGGCCACTCTCAGATAATCATGACTTCGTGTGTCTATAACGTCGTTCTGCACGACGACAAATCGCTCCGAGTTTCTCGTGATCAATGTCCATATCACTGCAAGGTGAGCTCACCGGAATCGAACGCGTGGTGGACTGTAGGGCACTCATAATTGCGTCCTTTAGGTTGAAGGGTGAGCCGCCAACATAGTCTTTCATGATTAACTTTGCATTTTTGCCAATCGGTGCACTGGACGGCTCTGGAGGACTTGAGACTTGAAAAGCCTTTAATGTTCAGGTATGTAGGAACAGCTGTAACAATAGCCCAAGCACAAGCTTGAATGGAAATGAACAATTCACCACCGTTTCTAATATCTAAACTGCCGGTGGAATCGCCACTAGAAGCAACGGATGATGTTTCATTAAAAGCTACCTGAAACGACGGTGACCTTCTCTGGTGTAACAAGCTCCTCCGCTGCTTCTACAATGACTTTCTTGCGCGGCAGCACTGTTCCGGTCACACTCTTCGTGGCGAGTATTTCCCACCCCAAGTTGCTTGTGCTGTGCTTTTAAAACGAGCATTGGTTTCTTGTTCTTTAAGATTTTGCTTGCTGCATCCCGTTTCATAACGATTCCCTTGGCCAGGTGAAACTGCAAGAAAAAGGAAAATTTCGTACTCTTGTTTTTTTCTTGCACATCATATAGCGAGGCTGCAAGAAACATGGACTATACGACAAGTGGTGCCCTGTAATGCCCCCTCTCAAAGCACAAGAAATAATGAACTACCAACTCGCCCAATTTATCACTCTGCTAAACAACGTATACAAATTCCCATTATTGCAACAGATAGAAATGAAACTGAAATCAGCATTAAAAGTAGGAACTATCAACTTTCATTTTTAAGATATCAAGGTGTGTCTGGTTGGACTTTTGTTAATGGCTCATACTTTGCTTGAACTCACGGTGCCATCCACCATGTAGGAAAAATGATGGGCTCCTTTCATATTGCTGCCATTTTGTTTCGCAAAAAGAATTACACAGACAAACACATATAGCAGTAGTGTATCAAAGGTTGTGGTGTGAATGCTTAAGCTGAAAATTCCACATGCACATGCCGCATTTTCAGTTGATCAGCACAGGGAACTGTGTCCCTGATGTTACTTTCGTCGATGCACGCAATTAGCACTAGTGTAAGCATACCACAGATGTGCAGCTCAGCCCGAGATTCTTCCTCTTTTCCGGAGACCTGGAACCTTTGCGGGTGTAATTTCTCGTGGCAATCATATCCTATAATTAGATTCTCAAAGTGGTGAGCCTCATCCGGAGGGCGCTCGACGTTCTCTTTTGATGACATCACTCGCGAAGATAAGGTGCTGCGATAACGTGAAGCACGTGTTTGCAATGTCCTGTTGGTACAATAAATAAATGCCTCGGCAAGCAGCGCTTCCGGACGGACAACTAGACTATCTGAGCTAGAACAATAACGTTTGAACGTTTGCGTTAATGTTTGGGTTAAAATGCATGTTAAACTTATATGCTCAACTGCTCTGAAAATTAGACGCGCACAGTTATAGAATCCAAAACACGTACCTGTCAGTATCAGGATCTGGGCGTTCTTGAAACCAGTGTCTTCATCATCCACCGGGTCGTGCCAGAAAGCACTATACGTAGCGCGTTTATCAAAATCCGAGTCGTTTGCAGGCACTAAATCTTTGATGTCTCTGACCGCAATGACGTGACGTTTCTCGTCGAAATCCTGTAAAAATCTAACCACCGCAAACATCTCGATGACGCAACAAAAACTGCAAAGTGTTCGAAATGAATGCACGTTCGAATTACAACGACCTTAGGCACACATGAACACACATAGCTCGACCAAAATCCACTTTATTGGATAGGATTGCATCGGCGTGTTTAACAAAATAGCCATTGTCATGCAGTGATTTTAGAAAATTTATCTCCCAAGTGCTAGAAAAACTTTATAGTTATATGTAAAATAGTTATATGTATTAAAAAATAAGAATATTTCTTGGTATGTTTTCACACAGGCAACCGCCTTTGACTATTGTGGGCGCATAAGAGTTAATATACAGAGTGACTATATTAACTCTATGTGTGGGCGGGTCTGTTTTGCAAGTGTAATCCAATGCAATCCAGCGATATCCAATAGTGCTGACAACGTTAACAACAGTGTGTTTTGGTGTTGTTTGCCTAGACCGTTTCTATTTTTCGCAAATATGCGTCACCAAAAGCAGCATTTGGGGCCAATAAACAATGCTCCTGACCTTCCGAAATCGACGCGGACGTATTTGCAAAGCTGTGCGTTCGCGTGAGGCACCGATGACAACCGAAGTGGCATCAATGCTGTCCCGGCGCCAGATGTGCCATGTGGAGACGACGACAATGTAGACAACGTCATGGACGCTGCATGAGAAAATAATGCAAGACGACAATTTTGTGCCTGAGACTAACTCGACCTCCAATGGAGCGCTACCTGTGCAGAGTGACCATGAACAATCGGCTCAAGACTTGCCAATAATGGTACTAAGCTTCGCACTGGAGACCGGCTTGTCTTGGGAAGCTGTTGAAGCTCTGCAGAGGCTGATTGTGCATATAATTGACACGTAAGACGATGTGACGTCAAAACAAATGTTTAAGAAGCAAGGGGGAGCCAGAATCCGGGCCGCTCGATTTCACTACTACTGTGCGCTTTGCATGAATTCACTAGGAGAGATATCGGGCGATCTGTGGGAATGAAACAACTTTCAGGCCGGCTGCTCAACTTGTAACAGCAGCTACAGCAGGCGTAATTTGATGCTAGACGACCACTTTCTCATCACCTTGACAATTGTGCAGCACCTTTCTTCCTTGCTCTGTGATCAAGCTGTCACAGACGCTTTAGTTCAAAGGCTGCATTCTTTTAACTATCAAGAGCATGCCAAAACGTCAGCTGACGTGAGAAAAGTCGGTGACATAACAGAGAGCTCTATGTACAAATAACTG